TCCAATAATTAAATAAATACGTACAAATGTGCGCGCGTGTACACACATACACATATTGATATTAAAGAGATTGAAGGAGAGGAAGGAGAAGATAAAAATTTAAATATTCACATATATTTTCAAATATTATATATGAATTTATAGTTTACATATCTAATTAATAATGAATTTCTAATTATATTAAACATATCAAAATAAAGACATACATGTATTTATCAAATGAATAAAATTATTGAATACAGACTTAAAAAATTTATTAAACATAGACTTAAAAAATTAATTAATTAAACATATTCCAAATTTAGAAAAAATAAACTTTATTTATATATGCAACAGCTTTTTAAACTAAATTTTAAATTCTATTTTATATTAGACAATTATCTCAATCAACATCTACGTCCACATTAGCTGCACTGCAGACTACCTCTACAGCCACATTATCTGCTCCGCGGATATAGCGTTATGCCAATACGATACATTACATGTACTTACTTACTTGCCTTTACTGTACCAACTCTTGTTCTTTCCACGTAATCATGTTTTTACAGTTATCGTTTGCTGTATATCTTCCAGCAAACTTTATTTCGTGTGAAGTGTATTTAATTAATTAAATCTCTGCGAAAGATTGAGAAGATGAAGGGATAATTCAAACTATGAAGACATGGTTACATGGAAAAGACAAGAGTTGATACAATAATAAAGACATACATGTATTTGTATCCTGCTGGCATAAGGTTATAGAAGTTGATTGAGATTGAAAAATAATAATGAAAATAATAAAAAAATAAAGACACATGTATTTGTATCGTGCTGGCATAAAGTTATAAAAGTTGATTGAGATTGAAAAATAATAATAAAAATAATTAAAAAAGGAAATATTCAATCATCATTTAAAAGCATATTTGAAATCTGTAGAATAAACAGTTTTTGCAAAAAATGTGGAGCATTTGAGCTCTAGTAAGTCTAAAAATAAATGTAAACATCAATTAATAATAACTGATGTTATATATATATTATATATATAAACCAATTTGTTGCAATATTCACTATAAAAGGTTGTAAGGGTAAGATGGCTAAAAGTGAATAATTTAAAAGATAGTTAACATAATTTTACATAAACTGAAATATTTCATAAAATAAAATATTTGTAATATTTCGAAGTTTATGTAAGATTATGTAAAAATTATACCTTTACAACTTTTTATAGTAAATATTGCGAGGAATCGATTTATATGAGAAAAATTAAGGTAATTCTATTTTGAAAATATAAGTGACCTTTAAATAACCTTGAAAATCGCCGTTTAGGAAAAAGTCTGTGTCAACTTTTTCTTTTTCGAAATCCTGCAACTTTTATCTAAATTTAATAGAAAATGTATAAAAAATGCTCGACATTAGTACACACACACACACACACACACACACACATATGGGTAAATTTATATAAATAGGGTGCTTTAGGAGGAATGATCAGGATTCTAGGATATGATTGTACACATCATTTTAAGCAAAGAAGTTTAGATAAACATGTTTAATAATTGTTCTATTCCGGTCATAAAAATATACAAAAATGAATGATATAATCTCTAAAAACTCACCTTTAAAAAAAGGTAAAAAAAGGCGACCAGTTAAGGGCACGCCATTAACAAAAATTATCCATTGCAAACCCATGTAGAATCCTATGAAAAATTAATCATTGCAAACCCATGTAGAATCCTAGGCAAAATTAACCATTGCAAACCCATGTAGAATCGTACCCATTGCAAACCTATGTAGAATCCTATGAAAAATTAACCATTGCAAACTCATGTAGAATCCTATGAAAAATTAACCATTGCAAACCCATGTAGAATTGTATTAAAAATTATCCATTGCAAACTTATGTAGAATCCTACATTGCAAACCCATGTACAATAGAATTGTATGAAAAATTATCGATTATAAACCCATGTACAATCGTAACAAAAGTAATGAAATAAAAAAAAAATTGCGCCAAGTGAAAGTAGAAACTTGTACCAGTGGAAAATTAAAGTTGCAGACATATATAGAGTCGTATAATGAATCAGTAAAAATTTAAATTTGCAAATGTAGAATCGTACCATAAAAAAACTTATCTTTTAAAAAAAAAGATAAACAAGATGCCAAGTCCATGCGCCATGTGAAAAAGAAATAAAAAAATTTTAGTTAAAAAAACTGGGCGCGCTGCTAAGTTTCAAAATTACAATGCACCTTAAAGTAAATTAATTAATTTAAACACAAAACATATTTTAACTGTAATGAGTTTAAAAGTAACAATTTAATTTTAATATTGTTAGAAATTATTTAGCAGCGCTCCCAGTTTTTTTAACTAAAATTTTTTTATTTCTTTTTCACATGGCGCATGGACTTGGCATCTTGTTTATCTTTTTTTTTAAAGATAAGTTTTTTTATGGTACGATTCTACATTTGCAAATTTAAATTTTTACTGATTCATTATACGACTCTATATATGTCTGCAACTTTAATTTTCCACTGGTACAAGTTTCTACTTTCACTTGGCGCAATTTTTTTTTATTTCATTACTTTTGTTACGATTGTACATGGGTTTATAATCGATAATTTTTCATACAATTCTATTGTACATGGGTTTGCAATGTAGGATTCTACATAAGTTTGCAATGGATAATTTTTAATACAATTCTACATGGGTTTGCAATGGTTAATTTTTCATAGGATTCTACATGAGTTTGCAATGGTTAATTTTTCATAGGATTCTACATAGGTTTGCAATGGGTACGATTCTACATGGGTTTGCAATGGTTAATTTTGCCTAGGATTCTACATGGGTTTGCAATGATTAATTTTTCATAGGATTCTACATGGGTTTGCAATAGGATAGGATTCTACATGGGTTTGCAATGGATAATTTTTGTTAATGGCGTGCCCTTAACTGGTCGCCTTTTTTATCTTTTTTTAAAGGTGAGTTTTTAGAGATAATCAATCAACAGCTGTAAAATGACTGTAATATCAGATCCAGTCCATCTGGTCTTTGCACATGTGCAATCATTCTACATGACAAAGTCTGATGTTTCAATTATTTTACAGGTGCTGATTGACTATCAAGAGAGAAGGTTAGTCTTCGGTATATTTTACAAGTGTACAAAGAGATTTGTAGTGTTGTTTTATCGAAATCTTTTTATTTAAAAATATTCCGCAAGAAATTTCTCGCCTCTGACGTCAACACGTGGCTCTGACGTGGCTGCGACGAGTATACAGGAGCCTTAAAACCAAGATGTTAAATCAAAGCGCTTAGTGTAGTCTTAAAAAACATACATTTTAAGCAAACAAAATTAAACATAAGCTAATTGCACATTTATGTATTATTAGCATAAATTTGTTTTTTGTAAAATCTATTGCATAACTAATTCTCTATAAAAAATAATTATATACAACTAGTCAATTTTGTACAATCTCTGGATTTCAATCACGAAAATTTCGTAAAAAGAAAAATGCATTCGTAAAAAAATAAAAGAAAATGTTAGTAGCGATTTAATGAACATAAACACTTTAAGTATTGACAAGTGATTTGAATTTCAGAGTTGTATGACAATATTAATATTTAAGTAATTAAACTATCTTTTACTTTATTATAACGTGTTTATCTTCCAGACTTATAGTTTAATCATCTCTTTATTTTACAAGCATGCTCATCTGGAGACACCAAAAGATATTCTCTGGAAGATTTAAGCTAGTGCGGACTCCATTCTTAAAAGGAGATAGCACCTACTGATCTAAGTTTGATCAAGGACGTCGACCAATGCGGACTCTGTTCTCGACCAAGGACAGTCCCAGCACCCACTGGTCTAAGTTCGATCAAGGATGTCAACCAATGCGGACTCTGTCCTCGACCAAGAACAGTCCCAGCACCCACTGGTCTAAGTTCGATCAAGGACGTCGACCAATGTGGACTCTGTCCTCGATAAGGACAGTCCCAACACCCACTGGTCTAAGTTCGATCAAGAACGTCGACTAATGCGGACTCTGTCCTCGATCAAGGACAGTCCCAGCATCCATTGGTCTAAGTTCAATCAAGGACGTTGACCAATGCGGACTCTGTCCTCAACTAAGGACAGTCCCAGCACCCATTGGTCTAAGTTCGATCAAGGACGTCGACCAATGCGGACTCTGTCCTCGACTAAGGACAGTCCCAGCACCCACTGGTCTAAGTTCGATCAAGGATGTCAACCAATGCGGACTCTGTCCTCGACCAAGAACAGTCCCAGCACCCACTGGTCTAAGTTCGATCAAAGACGTCGACCAATGCGGACCTGTCCTCGATAAGGACAGTCCCAACACCCACTGGTCTAAGTTCGATCAAGAACGTCGACTAATGCGGACTCTGTCCTCGATCAAGGACAGTCCCAGCACCCATTGGTCTAAGTTCGATCAAGGACGTCGACCAATGCGGACTCTGTCCTCGACTAAGGACAGTCCCAGCACTCATTGGTCTAAAATTAAGAGTACTGAGGCTATCTTCTTTTAGAAATAGTCCGCACTAACCTAAGTCCTCCAAGGAACATAAATATCTTCATCTGTTCGCTAAATGAGCATGTTGTAATAATAAAAAGCTATAAATAAGATAAATATGTAACCTACTTATATGTAACATATTATCTATATATATGTATACATATATATCATTTGTGATATAATAATTATTATATATAATATACATATTGTAATACAATAAATAATATTGTATATATAATAGAAAAGTACAGTTAGTCAACAAAATGTCTACAATACCGTCTTGTGTGTGTATCACGAAAAATAAATAAATTACAATAGAATAGCAGTCTTATGATACACTAGAGGTCATATGTATACATATATATTTGCAAATTAAATTCTTTTTCAAACTATTGTATTATATTATACTTATATTTTATCGTTTTATATGTAGCATGCTATTATGCTTCTAAAACAAAAATAATATTTCAAAATAAACAAAACAAAAATTCATAAAAAATTAAAAGCTACAATTATATTGTTTGCAACTTTCAATAACTTTCATTATCGGTGTAAATTTTGTCGAAAACTGACATCTTGAAAGAATATAAAATAAATTTGAAGTATTATGTTTGAAGTATTAATTAAATGATAAGAAAACATTTTTTAAAATATTATCTAATGAAATAAACAAGAATTCAAAGCAGTTGCAATTACCAGAATGACATTATTCATATTGTCGTAGAGCTTTCTGTTTATTATGGATCCATGTTTTTATTTGCGGTGATGTCCGATTAAATAAACAACTATACTTCTTTTTAGTTTCTTGAATTTCTCGTAAAGACGGTAGCGTTAAGTTTTTCATATGTGTGGAAAATGCTTGAAGTACTGTTTCTTTTTCTTTTTCTGTCCAACGCTGCCTTTTGGTTTTGCCATAAGGAGATGCTAGAAAAATATATATTATTACCATATATTATTAAAATAGTGCATACATATTGAAATTGATAAATGCCGAATTACTAGATGTGAATTAACCGAAATATTAAAAAATAAAATTAAAATTTTATATATTTTATATATTTTAGCTTTACATTTTATTAAAAATATAGTCATAAAAGAAAATAAAAACAATATTTTTTAGCTTTACATTTTTTATTAAAAATTACTAAAATCATAAAAGAATAGCAAGAGAGAGAGAGAAAACGTATTTATATATACACTAAAAATGACAATATTTATTTTCAACTAAATGATTTTTTTTCTTTAGTAGCGATTATTTTTACATAAAATAATTCTGAATTTTAACTATTGCTTATCAAAAAAATTAAGAAAAATGATATTGATAAAACATTGCAATTATTTAGTAATATGTACTTTGTAATATGTAGCAATTAATATATGTAACAAACACCATTATGAATAACTTTTGTGAAAATATTGTGATTAATATTGAAAAAATTACCTATAGTCATTAAAATTCCAGAATTTTCCAGGAAATTACAGCCTTTGATATGCATCTCACCAATATTTTCATTTTTATCGATAGCATTTATCAATGTATTAATATCTAATATAAAAGCAGAACTGAATTATTATCAAATAATTATGCTAAAATAATAGTTATGAAAGTACTTCGCATTAATCTTATGTGAAATGAATTTCAGTTAAACCAGCTGTTTTTTTTTCAAATGTAGCTTATGATCTGTTGAACAAAAGATGCAATAATCTCAAGGCTAATTAATAAACAATTATTGAGTATAGCCAGGCAAGCAGTTCGCAAAGCCCGAGTATTTCATATTTGACTGATTGTATAAATCAGTACCTATTATTTAGCTTTGAGCCTATTACATTTTTTTCAATAGATTATAAGCTACAACATATTAAAAAACCAGCTGATTTAACCGACACTTCACATAACATTAATGTGGGATACTTTAAATTTTTAGTTAATATTAAGGAAACTCACCTAATATTTGCGAGTCATTGATCTCTAAAGATTCATAGCCTTTTTCTTGCAAGGCAGCCTTTTCATTATATATATTTTCATCAATAGATCTTATTTTCATATCATTATATATATTTTCATCAATAGATCTTATTTTCATATCAGTATCTAATATAAAAGTAAGAAGCAAAACTATATTATATGTTTATCATAAAATAGCACTTATGAAATTTGCTAATATTAAAGAAACTCACCTAATATTTGAGCATTATCATTTTTAAGAGAGTCACAGTTTTCTCTTTGTGCAGCAATCTCTTTGATGCATGTATTCCTATCGACAGAGCCTTTCTTTGTATTAATATATAATGTGAGAGTAAAAAGCAAAACTACATTATTATCAAGTATTTATGATAAAATAGCAATTATGATATTTACCAATATTAAGGAAGCTCACCTAGCATTTCAGCATCATTTACAAAAGATTCACAGCCTTTTTCTTGCGAGGCAGTCATACCGTTGTATATATTTTCATCGATAAATGCTATTCTTGTATCATCAGCTATAATATAAAAGTAAGAGGCAAACTATATTAATATATGTTTATTGTAAAATAGCATTCATGAAATTTGCTAATATTAAAGAAACTCACCTAATGATATTTGAGCATCATCATTTTTAAGAGAGTCACAGTTTTCTCTTTGTGCAGCAGTCTCTTTGATGCATGTATTTTTATCGACAGAGTCTTTCTTTGTATTAATATCTAATATGAAAGTAAAAGCAAAACTACATTATTATCAAGTTTTTATGATAAAATAGCAATTATGATATTTACCAATATTAAGGAAGCTCACCTAACATTTCAGCATCATTTACAAAAGATTCACAGCCTTTTTCTTGCGAGGTAGTCTTATCGTTGTATATATTTTTATCGATAGATCCTATTCTTATATCATTATCTATAATATAAAAGTAAGAAGCAAAACTACATTAATAAATGTTTATTGTAAAATAGCATTCATGAAATTTGCTAATATTAAAGAAACTCACCTAATGATATTTGAGCATCATCATTTTTAAGAGATTCACAGTTTTCTCTTTGTGTAGCAGTCTCTTCGAAGCATGTATTTTTATCGACAGAGCCTTTCTTTGTATTAATATCTAATATGAAAGTAAAAGCAAACCTACATTATTATCAAGTATTTATAATAAAATAGCAATTATAATATTTATCAATATTAAGCAAGCTCACCTAGCATTTCAGCATCATTTACAAAAGATTCACAGCCTTTTTCTTGCGAGGCAGTCATACCGTTGTATATATTTTCATCGATAAATGCTATTCTTGTATCATCAGCTATAATAAAAAGTAAGAGGCAAACTATATTAATATATGTTTATTGTAAAATAGCATTCATGAAATTTGCTAATATTAAAGAAACTCACCTAATGATATTTGAGCATCATCATTTTTAAGAGATTCACAGTTTTCTCTTTGTGTAGCAGTCTCTTCAAAGCATGTATTTTTATCGACAGAGCCTTTCTTTGTATTAATATCTAATATGAAAGTAAAAAGCAAAACTACATTATTATCAAGTATTTATAATAAAATAGCAATTATAATATTTACCAATATTAAGGAAGCTCACCTAGCATTTCAGCATCATTTACAAAAGATTCACAGCCTTTTTCTTGCGAGGCAGTCATACCGTTGTATATATTTTCATCGATAAATGCTATTCTTGTATCATCAGCTATAATATAAAAGTAAGAGGCAAACTATATTAATATATGTTTATTGTAAAATAGCATTCATGAAATTTGCTAATATTAAAGAAACTCACCTAATGATATTTGAGCATCATCATTTTTAAGAGAGTCACAGTTTTCTCTTTGTGCAGCAGTCTCTTTGATGCATGTATTTTTATCGACAGAGCCTTTCTTTGTATTAATATCTAATATGAAAGTAAAAGCAAAACTACATTATTATCAAGTATTTATGATAAAATAGCAATTATAATATTTACCAATATTAAGGAAGCTCACCTAGCATTTCAGCATCATTTACAAAAGATTCACAGCCTTTTTCTTGCGAGGCAGTCATATCGTTGTATATATTTTCATCGATAAATCCTATTCTTGTATCATTATCTATAATATAAAAGTAAGAAGCAAAACTATATTAATAAATGTTTATTGTAAAATAGCATTCATGAAATTTGCTAATATTAAAGAAACTCACCTAATGATATTTGAGCATCATCATTTTTAAGAGATTCACAGTTTTCTCTTTGTGTAGCAGTCTCTTCAAAGCATGTATTTTTATCGACAGAGCCTTTCTTTGTATTAATATCTAATATGAAAGTAAAAGCAAAACTACATTATTATCAAGTATTTATAATAAAATAGCAATTATAATATTTACCAATATTAAGGAAGCTCACCTAGCATTTCAGCATCATTTACAAAAGATTCACAGCCTTTTTCTTGCGAGGCAGTCATACCGTTGTATATATTTTCATCGATAAATGCTATTCTTGTATCATCAGCTATAATATAAAAGTAAGAGGCAAACTATATTAATATATGTTTATTGTAAAATAGCATTCATGAAATTTGCTAATATTAAAGAAACTCACCTAATGATATTTGAGCATCATCATTTTTAAGAGAGTCACAGTTTTCTCTTTGTGCAGCAGTCTCTTTGAAGCATGTATTTTTATCGACAGAGCCTTTCTTTGTATTAATATCTAATATGAAAGTGAAAAGCAAAACTACATTATTATCAAGTATTTATAATAAAATAGCAATTATAATATTTACCAATATTAAGCAAGCTCACCTAGCATTTCAGCATCATTTACAAAAGATTCACAGCCTTTTTCTTGCGAGGCAGTCATATCGTTGTATATATTTTATCGATAGATGCTATTCTTGTATCATCAGCTATAATATAAAAGTAAGAAGCAAACTATATTAATAATATGTTTATTGTAAAATAGCATTCATGAAATTTGCTAATATTAAAGAAACTCACCTAATGATATTTGAGCATCATCATTTTTAAGAGATTCACAGTTTTCTCTTTGTGTAGCAGTCTCTTCAAGCATGTATTTTTATCGACAGAGCCTTTCTTTGTATTAATATCTAATATGAAAGTAAAAGCAAAACTACATTATTATCAAGTATTTATAATAAAATAGCAATTATAATATTTACCAATATTAAGGAAGCTCACCTAGCATTTCAGCATCATTTACAAAAGATTCACAGCCTTTTTCTTGCGAGGCAGTCATACCGTTGTATATATTTTCATCGATAAATGCTATTCTTGTATCATCAGCTATAATATAAAAGTAAGAGGCAAACTATATTAATATATGTTTATTGTAAAATAGCATTCATGAAATTTGCTAATATTAAAGAAACTCACCTAATGATATTTGAGCATCATCATTTTTAAGAGATTCACAGTTTTCTCTTTGTGTAGCAGTCTCTTCAAAGCATGTATTTTTATCGACAGAGCCTTTCTTTGTATTAATATCTAATATGAAAGTAAAAGCAAAACTACATTATTATCAAGTATTTATAATAAAATAGCAATTATAATATTTACCAATATTAAGGAAGCTCACCTAGCATTTCAGCATCATTTACAAAAGATTCACAGCCTTTTTCTTCATTCTTATATCATAGCTATAATATAAAAGTTATATGTTTATTGTAAAATAGCATTCATGAAATTTGCTAATATTAAAGAAACTCACCTAATGATATTTGAGCATCATCATTTTTAAGAGAGTCACAAGCAGCATGTATTTTTATCGACAGAGCCTATTTCAGCATCATTTACAAAAGATTCACAGCCTTTTTCTTGCGAGGCAGTCTATCGTTGTATATATTTTTATCGATAGATCCTATTCTTGTATCATATCTATAATATAAAAGTAAGAGGCAAAACTACATTAATAATGTTTATTGTAAAATAGCATTCATGAAATTTGCTAATATTAAAGAAACTCACCTAATGATATTTGAGCATCATCATTTTTAAGAGATTCACAGTTTTCTCTTTGTGTAGCAGTCTCTTCAAAGCATGTATTTTTATCGACAGAGCCTTTCTTTGTATTAATATCTAATATGAAAGTAAAAGCAAAACTACATTATTATCAAGTATTTATAATAAAATAGCAATTATAATATTTACCAATATTAAGGAAGCTCACCTAGCATTTCAGCATCATTTACAAAAGATTCACAGCCTTTTTCTTGCGAGGCAGTCATACCGTTGTATATATTTTCATCGATAAATGCTATTCTTGTATCATCAGCTATAATATAAAAGTAAGAGGCAAACTATATTAATATATGTTTATTGTAAAATAGCATTCATGAAATTTGCTAATATTAAAGAAACTCACCTAATGATATTTGAGCATCATCATTTTTAAGAGAGTCACAGTTTTCTCTTTGTGCAGCAGTCTCTTTGATGCATGTATTTTTATCGACAGAGCCTTTCTTTGTATTAATATCTAATATGAAAGTAAAAGCAAAACTACATTATTATCAAGTATTTATGATAAAATAGCAATTATAATATTTACCAATATTAAGGAAGCTCACCTAGCATTTCAGCATCATTTACAAAAGATTCACAGCCTTTTTCTTGCGAGGCAGTCTATCGTTGTATATATTTTTATCGATAGATCCTATTCTTGTATCATTATCTATAATATAAAAGTAAGAAGCAAAACTACATTAATAAATGTTTATTGTAAAATAGCATTCATGAAATTTGCTAATATTAAAGAAACTCACCTAATGATATTTGAGCATCATCATTTTTAAGAGATTCACAGTTTTCTCTTTGTGTAGCAGTCTCTTCAAAGCATGTATTTTTATCGACAGAGCCTTTCTTTGTATTAATATCTAATATGAAAGTAAAAGCAAAACTACATTATTATCAAGTATTTATAATAAAATAGCAATTATAATATTTACCAATATTAAGGAAGCTCACCTAGCATTTCAGCATCATTTACAAAAGATTCACAGCCTTTTTCTTGCGAGGCAGTCATACCGTTGTATATATTTTCATCGATAAATGCTATTCTTGTATCATCAGCTATAATATAAAAGTAAGAGGCAAACTATATTAATAATGTTTATTGTAAAATAGCATTCATGAAATTTGCTAATATTAAAGAAACTCACCTAATGATATTTGAGCATCATCATTTTTAAGAGAGTCACAGTTTTCTCTTTGTGTAGCAGTCTCTTTGAAGCATGTATTTTTATCGACAGAGTCTTTCTTTGTATTAATATCTAATATGAAAGTGAAAAGCAAAACTACATTATTATCAAGTATTTATAATAAAATAGCAATTATAATATTTACCAATATTAAGGAAGCTCACCTAGCATTTCAGCATCATTTACAAAAGATTCACAGCCTTTTTCTTGCGAGGCAGTCTCATCGTTGTATATATTTTTATCGATAGATGCTATTCTTGTATCATTATCTATAATATAAAAGTAAGAGGCAAACTATATTAATAAATGTTTATTGTAAAATAGCATGTCATGAAATTTGTTAATATAAAGAAACTCACTTAATAGTACTTGAGCATCATCATTTTTAAGAGATTCACAGTTTTCTCTTTGTGTAGCAGTCTCTTCAAGCATGTATTTTTATCGACAGAGCCTTTCTTTGTATTAATATCTAATATGAAAGTAAAAAGCAAAACTACATTATTATCAAGTATTTATAATAAAATAGCAATCATAATATTTACCAATATTAAGGAAGCTCACCTAGCATTTCAGCATCATTTACAAAAGATTCACAGACTTTTTCTTGCGAGGCAGTCTCATTGTTGTATATATTTTTATCGATAGATCCTATTCTTGTATCATTATCTATAATATAAAAGTAAGAAGCAAAACTACATTAATAAATGTTTATTGTAAAATATCTGTCATAAAATTTGTTAATATAAAGAAACTCACTTAATAGTACTTGAGCATCATCATTTTTAAGAGATTCACAGTTTTCTCTTTGTGTAGCAGTCTCTTCGAAGCATGTATTTTTATCGACAGAGCCTTTCTTTGTATTAATATCTAATATGAAAGTAAAAAGCAAAACTACATTATTATCAAGTATTTATAATAAAATAGCAATTATAATATTTATCAATATTAAGGAAGCTCACCTAGCATTTCAGCATCATTTACAAAAGATTCACATCCTTTTTCTTGCGAGGCAGTCACATTGTTGTAAATATTTTCATCGATAGATCTTATTCTTGTATTATTATCTATAATATAAAAGTAAGAAGCAAAACTACACTAATATATATTTATTATAAAGCGTGGTTTACAATAGCAGTAAGCAGTAAGAGTAAGCAGTACAAAATGAGGTTTGTTCATTTTATTACTCCCGACGAAATGGGCAATCCAATTTCATACTGTTTACTCTTACTGCTTACTTACTGCTATTGTAGACCACGCTTAAAATAGCGATCATACAATTTACTAATATTAAGGAAACTCACCTAAGTGTACTTGAGCATCATCATTTCCAAATTTATTTACTTTTTTGTTTTCAAAGTTAATTCTTTTGCATATAATATACGGTTTTCCTTCAATTATATTTTCTACTATTTGTTTTAATACTGATTCCTTATCTGAACAAGTTAAAATAAAATTAATTAGTTTTAGTTCAAATTTTTCTGTCTCTCTCTCTCTCTCTAGACACACACACACGCAACACGTACGCACGCACACATATAAATATCGTAGCAAATGTAGATATTGTATAACAGCGGCATGACTTTAATATAACAGTTTTTACAATAACGTAACAGTTAAAAATGAAAAATATTGCTACTTACCATTTCTTGCTAGAATATTTGCTGTGTATCTGCGTCGATTGCTATACGTGGCTTTGATAATTCCTTTACTAACACTAATTGTGTTCGACTTGCATAATGTATACCGTCATAAAATTTCACTAAACTATACATTTTGGAAAATGAACCAGTATCACGTATTACTAATGGCTAATGGCCTCCTGTTCCTTCCCGCTTTTTTTACTTTCTCAAAATGGCCAGCAAGACCGACGTCGACAATTGACAATCAGTATGTACGTTTACACGGCACTCTTAAGTGGGAGCACACACTCTTGCATATGTTTATAGACCAATCAAGATTCTTATGCTTACGCTTAAGCGTCTATGCAAAAGTACCACGTTGTGTATAATACATTATATATTTCGGCTATTTTGACGACATCCTATTTTTCATAAAACGGTTATTACAACGACACTCCAAAAGCAAATAAAGAAATTCTTTTTTTAAATAGCTATATCATATTCATCGAATATGCAAGCAATCAAGATATATAGAGGAAAAGGTGCGAATGTAGCAAGTCAGGTTTTTGAGATATAATAATTTAAAAATGCAAAAAAGGGCATTTTTTTCACCTTTTAGTAAGATATAACTTTTAATTGGGATGTGATACAAATTTCTTCGACAGCTTAAAATAAAGCTTGAGACTGTAGTTTATGTAACAAATATGAAAAAGTTCGAATCTAAAGAGTTTATAAAAAATTAATCGTACCTCACAAGATTCTATATTAGTATAAGAAAAAATGCAAAAAAATATTTTTTATCTTATAACTAAATTTTTTTATAAACTGTTTAGATTCAAACTTTTTCATTTGTTACATAAACTACAAATACCAACTACTAATATATCAGTACGGATAACATTTGCACCTTCTCTTCTATATATCGATTGCTTGCATATTTGATAAATAATATAACTATTTAAAAGAATTTTTAATTTACTTATAGAATGTCGTTATAATAAATGTTTTATGGTAAATATGATGTCGTCAAAATAGCCGAATATAATGTATTATACATAATTTTGTACTTAGATCGGTTAGTACAGCGACAGTACAAAATTATGTATAATACATTATATATTTTGGCTATATTGACGACAACATACTTTCCATAACACGGTTATTATAACGACATACTAAACGCAAATAGAAAAATTATTTTTCTAAATAGCTTTATCATTCATCGAATATGCAAGCAATCAAGATATATAGAGAAGAAGGTGCAAATGTGGCATGTCAGGTTTTTGAGATATATTAATTTAAAAATGTGAAAGAAGGGCTTTTTCACACTTTTCAGTAAGATATATAACTTTTAATTGGGATGTGATACAAATTTCTTCAACAGCTTAAAATAAAGCTTAAGACTAATTAATGTAACAAATATGGAAACGGTCGATTCTAAAGACTTTATAAAAAAATTAACCAAACCTCAGAGGATTCTATATATTAGTATAAGAAAAAGTGCAAAAAATAATATTTTTATCTTATAACTTAATTTTTTTATAAACTCTATAGATTCAAACTTTTTCATATTTGTCACATAAACTACAAATACCAAATATCAGCACGGATTACATTTGCACCTTCTCTTCTATATATCTTGATTGCTTGCATATTCGGTAAATGATATATCTATTTAAAAGAATTTTTTCATTTACTTGTAGAATGTCTTTATAATAAATGTTTTATGGTAAATGTGATGTCGTCAAAATAGCCGAAATATACATATATTATACATAATATTATACTTAGATCGGTTAGTACAGCGACAGTACCAAGTTATGTATAATACTATATTTTCGATATTTTAACGATATCATCATATTTTCCATAAAACGGTTATATAACGACACTAAACAACAAGCACATAAAAAATTCTTCTTTTAAATAGCTATATCATTAATCGAATATGCAAGCAATCAAAATATACAGAGGAGTAGATGTAATGTGGCACGTCAAGTTTTTGAGATATAATAATTTAAAAATGTGAAAAAGGGCTTTTTATACACTTTTTAGTAAGATATTGTATAACTTTTAATTGGGATGTGATACAAATTTCTTCAACAGCTTAAATAAGCATAT